TTACTATATTAGATACTTTACTATATTAGAAACATTACTATATTAGATACTTTACTATATTAGATACTTTGCTATATTAGAAACATTACTATATTAGAAACATTACTATATTAGATACTTTAATGCATAAAGATTTAAGAGAAGAAGATTCACAAAGTACATCTTATATGTATAAGTATTTTTTGTGGTATGACCCCGGAGGAAGATTTATGGATAGCTAGTGATTAAAATTTCACACCGAAAAATTTTAAACGTTAAAATAAGTGTTCACTATGGTTTATAGGGTTACCCATGGTCAAGACAATTTTTTAAGACAATGGCACAACACAAAACGTTGGGGTATATAACTTTTAACTGATCTTAAATAATATAATAAATCAAAATAATAGAAAGACTTTGATAACAAACTGGAAATAGATTTATAGATATTTCGTTTTTTTGTATGCATGAGCTTTTTCCACACCCCTTATCCAAAATAAATTATTAAAGTTAAAAACTATTATTTTCTTTTATTCTCTATTATTCTCTTTGACCCTCTAATAACTTGGGAACCCAGCTCTGCCAGGTTACTAAAATTTACTCCCGCCGTCTACCCGCACTTGAACGACTTGACTGGGAAACTAAATTTTCAATATTAAATCTGAACCAGTTAACTTAGAATTTTAAAACTAAACTAAGAACATTCCAATGGGTCTCCCGAGTTCCCCAATCAAAATTTGAGGCAAATCGGTCCAGGGATTCTTGAGTTATCATCAGACAAACAAACACACAGGTAGATAGACAGACAAACAGAAATTGCAGCTTAATATATATTGATTATTCTCTATTATTCTCTATTATTCTCCATTATTCTTTATTATAGTTTATTATTCTCTATTATTCTCTATTATTTTATATTATTCTCAATTATTCTTTATTATACTTTATTATTCTTTATTATTCTCTATTATTTTCTATTATTCTCTATTATTCTCTATTATTCTCCATTATTCTTTATTATACTTTATTATTCTCTATTATTCCCTATTATTTTCTATTATTCTTAATTATTCTTTATTATACTTTATTATTCTTTATTATTCTCTATTATTCTCTATTATTCTCTATTATTCTCTATCATTCTCTATTATTCTTTANGTCTGATCTACTATGGTACCAATAGCATTGTCTGATCTACTATGGTACCAATAGCATTGTCTGATCTACTATGGTACCAATAGCATTGTCTGATCTACTATGGTACCAATAGCATTGTCTGATCTACTATGGTACCAATAGCATTGTCTGATCTACTATGGTACCAATAGCATTGTCTGATCTACTATGGTACCAATAGCATTGTCTGATCTACTATGGTACCAATAGCATTGTCTGATCTACTATGGTACCAATAGCATTGTCTGATCTACTATGGTACCAATAGCATTGTCTGATCTACTATGGTACCAATAGCATTGTCTGATCTACTATGGTACCAATAGCATTGTCTGATCTACTATGGTACCAATAGCATTGTCTGATCTACTATGGTACCAATAGCATTGTCTG